GATAGCAGCAAGAGCAGCAGTGGTAGTGACATCAGCAACAGCAGCAGTGGTATTGGTAGCAGCAGCAGCAGTAGTAGTGACAGCAGCAGCAACAGCAGCATGAGGGAGAGGTTACCTTAGCTCACGCTACCCGCGTGCTGGCTGTGGCTTGATATTTATACCCCGGAGTCTGCACGTTAAACCTTATGTTTACCTGGGTATAGTACGGCTGTGTCATCTATGTACCTCTGGGTTCGTCTGGTTTCGCCGTCCCCTCCTACTGCAACCCAATTTTTGCAACATCAATGATAGTTCCTACAACCCACTCTTGCGCCACCGGTGATGATCCTACAACCCAGTCTTGCACCACCGGTGATAATCCTACAACCCAGTTTTGCACCACCGGTGATAATACTACAATCCAGTCTTGCACCACCAGTGATAATACTCCAACCCAGTCTTGCACCACCGGTGATAATCCTACAACCCAGTCTTCCACCACCGGTGATAATCCTACAACCCAGTTTTGCACCACCGGTGATAATCCTACAACCCAGTCTTGCACCACCGGTGATAATCCTACAACCTCGTCTCTCACTAACAGTGACAATCGTACAGTTAAGTTTAATATCTTTATTATGCACCCCATACCCATCCTGTGGGAGGCAGTCAAAAGATTACAGAGGTACATAATTGGTCCAGGGACTGGACTCCAGAGTTTTGATAGCTGAGCAAGTTACAAATGTAATGAACTAGATCTGGTCACAATCATGCCGAAGTTACAAAGGTAATGAGCTCCAGGTAGAGCTGGTCACACTCATGACTAATTACAAAGGTAATGAATCATAAACACATCAATCATGAGAATTCACAAAGGTAATGAGCGTACATACTTGAATGTTTCCTAGTTACGCGTATTGCTTATTTATGGTTAAATATAAGCTATCATACGTTCCTGTAACCTAACCTAACGTAACCTAATCTGACTTAAAATAAAATAGTGCAGTATATGCAGGATTACAGGTAGGGCTAAGAAATTAGCGATGGGCACCTCATATGAAAGTTAAAGCAGTTAAATAAAGATATGGTGCCAGTTGAAGTGTATGGCACCCAGCCTGTGTGATCCAATTTGACAAGCTAACACAACTGTCAGGGTCACAGAGTAGGATTAAGATTTTGTAGGCTCCCTGGCTACAAGTACTGTGAGCCTCAGTAATATTAAATTTATTTTTTACAACAGTCAATAGTTCATCATATAAGGGAGGTACCTTAACGCTGGTGAGGGGCTCTTGATATAGGGAATTGGATGTATGGTCCGGTTCCCTGAACTGAACCTGAATACCTTCTATCCCCCCACATACGCTGTATAATCCTACGGGTTTAGCGCTCCCCGTGATTATAATTATAATTATCATCATATACGTGATGTAATAACATAATGTAATGATAAACTTACAGCAGTAACTGTGAACACTTTTCATTTAATCTCTGGAGGCCCTCCAGCTGGCGGAGGCCCCTGGACTGCAGCCCCTAAAGCCCCTGCCTCATTAATCCGGCCCTGATCAGGGAGCCCCAATAGATATTAAAGTCACACTGACTTTATTGGGTTATCCTTGGTTAAATCTACATAATGTATTTTTGTGTCAATAACAGTCGTGTGCTTTCAAAACCGTTGTAAAAAGAATTATATATACAAGCCTATATAAAAACTGATTTGCTTCTCCGGTCCACCCCTTTTTCAACGAAAGGCCTCGGTCAGATGACCAAAAGCCCCAGCAGCTGGTCACCATATGACTAAAACCTGACAAACCTAACCTGAGTCTTTTGCGTGCAGTGGGGTACAGGAGGCTATTGGTGATGTCTGGTAGCAAACCCATCTTAGTGAATTGTAGAGTAAATGACTCGCACATAACTAGAAAACCAAGAGGCAGCACAGCTAGAAGTAGTGAAGGAACAAACAAGAATTTAGTTATATAGTAACGATATCAGCTGCTGGCCTCAGTGAGTGATAAGATAAGATTTCGTTCGGATTTTTAACCCCGGGGGGTTAGCCACCCAGGATAACCCAAGAAAGCCAGTGCGTCATCGAGGACTAACTTATTTCCATCTTGTCCCCCAGGATGCGACCCACACCAGTCGACTAACACCCAGGTACCTATTTGCTGCTAGGTGAACAGGACAACAGGTGCAAGGAAACGTGTCGAAATGTTTCCACCCGCCGGGAATCGAACCCGGGCCCTCCGTGTGTGAAGCGGGAGCTTTAGCCACCAGGCCACCGGGCCATCACCAGGCCACCGGGCCACCACCAGGCCACCGGGCCACCACCAGGCCACCGGGCCACCACCAGGCCACCGGGCCACCACCAGGCCACCGGGCCACCACCAGGCCACCGGGCCACTAATTTCATACAAGAGCGCAACCCTTTATTACAGGAATGTTTCGCTCAAAAGAAGCTATATAAAGGATATCAAGTTATAGGTTAACTGAATGAAGTTAGGTAAGTAAGACACATGTGCGACTGTTAAGGAGGCTTCAATCCGATTGTTATCTCCAGGATAACCCAAGCAGTGCGATTTATTTCCATTGGAATTTTTTTGGGGGTACTCCCCCAGGATGCGAGTCACAACAGACACTTGAGTCCTAGGTACCTACTTAATGCTTCATAACAGGGGCAGCAGGTGTGACGAAACTTGCCCATACTTTCCGCCTCGCCCTGGATTTGACCCGGGTGCTTTCGGATGTAAGATGAATCTTTTCACCACTGAGCTACACGGTATCTCTAGATAAGCTGTATATACGTTCATCACACATGGGTTTACATTATTAAAATCTTTGGGAAGCGCTAAAACCCTAGGGGTCATACATCTCCTGGGCAATAGAACATATGTTTGATCCGTGGAAGGGAAGCTCCAATTCTTTGGACCACGAACCCTTCACGAGAATCCAGGCACCCCTCCTTGATGTTCAAAGTTAATTCTGTCAAATATTTGTAGACTTTCCTGAATAAATGTTTTTCTTGGCTGTGACTCAAGTAGTAGCGTCTTGGGCTCACAACTGCAGGACCCGGGTTCGATCATGTGAAAAATGGAAACACTGAGCATATTTCCTTACACCTGTTGCCCTTGTTCACCTAGCAGTAAGTAGGTACCTGGGTGTTAGCCAACAGCTGATGGTCGCATCCTGAGGAAGAGGATCAGACCACAATGGCAATAAACCAGACTGGCTTTCTTGGGTCAGCGTTACTAATCTTCCGGGTTATCTTGGTTTACAAACCCTCCAGGTTATCCTGGGTTACTAACCCTCCAGGTTATCCTGAGTTATTAACCCTCCAGGTTATCCTAAGTTACTAACCCTCCAGGTTATCCTGAGTTATTAATCCTACAGGTTATCCTGAGTTATTAACCCTCCAGGTTATCCTAAGTTACTAACCCTCCAGGTTATCCTGAGTTACTAACCCTCCAGGTTATCCTGAGTTACTAACCTTCTGGGTTATCCTGAGTTACTAACCTTCCGGGTTATCCTGAGTTACTAACCTTCCAGGTTATCCTGGGTTACTAACCTTCCAGGTTATCCTGAGTTACTAACCTTCCAGATTATCCTGGGTTGCTAACCTTCTGGGTTATCCTGAGTTACTAACCTTCCAGGTTATCCTGGGTTACTAACCCTCCAGGTTATCCTAAGTTACTAACCCTCCAGGTTATCCTGAGTTACTAACCCTCCAGGTTATCCTGAGTTACTAACCCTCCAGGTTATCCTGAGTTACTAACCCTCCAGGTTATCCTGAGTTACTAACCTTCCAGGTTATCCTGAGTTACTAACCCTCCAGGTTATCCTGAGTTACTAACCTTCCAGGTTATCCTGAGTTACTAACCTTCCAGGTTATCCTGAGTTACTAACCTTCCATGTTATCCTGAGTTACTAACCTTCCAGGTTATCCTGGGTTACTAACCTTCCAGGTTATCCTGAGTTACTAACCTTCCAGGTTATCCTGAGTTACTAACCTTCCAGGTTATCCTGGGTTACTAACCTTCCAGGTTATCCTGAGTTACTAACCTTCCAGGTTAATCCGAACAAAATCTTCCTCTATGTCCAGTGAACAGAAAGATAAACATAGATAGCAATTGCAAGTAACTATTATAATGCTACAACACAGATAACACATTATTTTAATTATAAATATTAATGTATATCACAATGCTGATTTGCCATAATATTAATACATCATTATGTCTGAATCATTTATATTAATCTACGATAATTTTATTGGGTTATTGATTAATTTACACAAGTTCCCATGTAAGAAATTAAAAAAAAAATTGTATTCAACCTGAATAAATTCTTACTGTCTTACTCATTTATTAGCTTGCTTAAATATTAATAACTAAACAATACAATGCAAACTCTCTTTTTCCTTCTCTAGCTATATATAAATAAATGCCAAGTATGGACTTCTTGTAAGAAATAACCTTGTAAACCTTCCCGTGTATTAATGTATCTTCTTTCAAAATATGCATTTCATTATATAGTGTCTTACACTTGTATATTTAGCAAATTTTGATAATGAAAACAATGATTAAAAAAAATGTCCATGGGCACCAGTCTAAGAAATAATAGCTTCAGCACTAGCAAGTGACAATGAAAATATATGTTATCACATGTAACTAAGTAATCATAGAAGTACAATTTCAAAAGATTTTTTTTTTCAGTGTTTATAACATTTTGTTTTTCTTTTAGTTCGAGTATTGTGCCACTGATTACGACTACTAAGACGAGTCCACATTACGTAGTGTCACTTGCTTTCCAGAGTGAAAAAAAAATAATAATATCTTAATTTATCAGTCATTACAGTATCGTATTTGTAATAATATAGCGATCATATACGGAATTACAATTATAACAACTCATCCTGGTTTACCATGAAAAATACTGCTTTAAAAATATACTGCACATTTTCTTATATTGGCGTAAAACTGTTAGAGTATAGTAAAAAAAATAAGGGAATTCTGGAGAATATGAAAAGAGCTTCACGTCAAGTCGACATTGAGAGGATATTGAGGCCGCTTGCATGCTGCCAAGCACCTTGCTACCTCAACCCTGTGCTACATGACGAGTTTCTGGCTAATATGACGTTGAGTGAAGCGTTTTCAGAGTGCCAGAGAGAGCACATGGGTTGTGTTACTCAAAGGTTTCCATAACAACTGGTAACCAGTTATAGTCGGTCACTTTGACTTATGTTTACCATGTACCAGCCTCAATATTAGACCAGTCCATTGTTGCCTAGTGGGGGAGTTCCTCTTTCTTACCTACCACTACCCCTGTAATTCATACATACCGACGGTTCGCACAGTGTTGTTATATCTCCCCTTATCTGTAACGTCGATAGTGAATAGTGTGAAGAGTTTGATGAGTGGTAATGGGAGGAGGTGGTAAGGTTGGTGTAGAGAAGTACAGAGGGTAACCGCCCCTACGCTAAAAATAGGCGCGGCCCAGAGTGCGCAGTGGTTGGCCAGAGTGCAACTCTGGCGGCGCAGTGCACTTGTGCTACCCATTACGGTTAGCCAACCTTCACCACATTTGCTGCAAAAAATGTAAATATGGTGAGTACAACCCGTCGCACAAAATGCATGTACAAAGGCAACCTCAAACTACCTTCTCTCAATCTCTCTCCCTCCCTCTCTCTCTCTTTCTGACTTATGTAACTGCAGTTCTCTTGTATTATTATGTATTTTTTTTTGTGCCCGGCAGATGACATTGATATTAATTTGTTTAATGCGAAGTCTGTTTTGATGTGGATATGTTATTACGACTAGTGGTTCTTATTGTAGTTTTCTACATGCATGCAAACTACATTAAATCTTATAAAAGTGAAATGTTGACAAGGAAAATGTAGGTGTTGGGAACCCCCATTACAAGGGAACACGCAAGTAAGTTTATTTAGGTACCAGTCCACATAAATACAATTATCATACATAATAACGTGTAAAAATTACCTAGGATAACCAAAAAAAGAAGTCAGACTAAAGTAAGCTTTATTTAGTTTATACAAATACACATTGTAACATTTCCAGTGGTTTTGAAGGGGTACACAATATTATATGAACACATACCACATTTAACGAGATAATCCATTGGTCACAGTGTGTTATTTTCATTGTGGTGTTTATTATATCTTGTGATCCTTATAACATTAGGGCTATTATTATATATTAAAATTTATTTCCTTAATTGATGAACAAATACAGAAGTAATTACAGTACATGTAAGTTACTTATATTTCATCTTGAATCACTGCAAATGCATTATGGTTATTTATGCAGTATTGACAAATTAACCTAGGATATCCCAAGAACTTCTCAAGAGTATATATAGAGGATGGTGAAGTGCTCTTGATTCAAGTAACTTGGAGCTACCTTCCCCTTCCTCATATCAAATCAGATTCATTCCCAAGGTGCTTTATCTCCCCTGTGGGTTGCATGCTGCCCCATAAATGAGAAGATAATCCTTATCAGGATTTTAAATCCATCATGTAGGATTCTCTGAATATACAAGACTAATGTACTTTTTTTTTTGTGCCCCCTCAAGACCATTGTAAAAAAATATGAATAATTCGTAAATAAAAACTTTGAAAAAACATTATTACCATAGACTACCATACATTAGCCAGATTTCTCTATATTGTTGTGTATCCGTATGTACATATGATTATAATATACTCTACTGGTGTATGTATATACTGTATATATACCAGTGTGTGTATGTATATTTGTTCATGTATATATGATCCAAGAAATATTCCCATAACCTACAAGCCCAACCTGCTTTACCTCCATACACATGAAAGAAAGAATATATAGAGAATGAGGTTTAAAGTTTATAATGCAATTAAATGGCTGCATTAGTGTTGTGGATTTGAAGCTGATCAGAAAAGGCATTAACAGGTTATTGAATGGACACTATTATCAAAATTTCTTAAATTAAAACTGTGGATTGGTACCTACACAGCCCAAAAACAATTGAAACCATTCACTAAGAAAATATCTTTGAAAGTTTAAGGCCACGCAGAAGAGGTATTTTCTAGCTGTCACAAAGACCAATGCAACAAGTTATTTTAAGGAAAAATACCCTAGCATGAGACCACGATGTGATGATAATCCCTAGAACCGCTAACTTAACTTTAGACTACCATTTATGAAATATAATTCACGAATTAGAATTTATTTATTTATTTATTTTTATTTATTTATTTAAAAATTTGAGCACACATACAGAGGTACAAAAAATACAGATAAGAGCAGCATGCCAAAGCCACTTATACTATGCATAGCATTACGGGCTGGCTTAAAATTAACTTAAGATGAACAGTAATAGTCCCAGCTCCCCCTTCCATGTCTGATACACCAGTGTTTAACATTTGAAGCCAACTAGAAAAGGGGTTCTCAAGTTACAGTATTTCACAGAAACTTGAATTGGGCATAACCTGTACAGTTACCTGTCTGTGTCAGTATTTGCATGAACCTTTTCCTGTTGTATACCAGCATGAAAAATTTAAAAGCCAATAGTATGAGGTAAATGAAAATCTTTGAAGCAAAAAATTGGGTAGCTACTTTAAGGTATCCCTTTGGTTATACCCAACAAAATAGTGCCTACCTTGCATATCTAATTACTGTATGTAGTATTAAATATTTTGGCATAAATAAAAGACAGTATGTACATGTAGTACTTCATTGCCTCTCCCTACTCCAGTTTTTCTTGATCTTATTTGTCATTGCATTGACACTAACATCTATTTTCCTTCCAAGATAATCTCTGTTCCCAAATCTTTAATGTTACATTAGCTTTACCTCTATCTCCTGCTCTTGCTAACACTTGATATGTATGTCAACCAGTTCTGCTACTAACTGTTGGTAAACAGTACATCCTTCTTTCCAACCTTGCTGTGTTGACATCTTTACTCTCTGGCCATATAACTCTAGTCTCTCCTAACCCTATTGTGTTGCCTTTAATGCTCCTGCTCCATCTATAAAGCTTAACACTTAATTCTAATCTTTACTGCTATGTCTTGATCACATTCAATTTTGTGCTTTTTGGTCTACTACAAGCATATGCACAGTTGCATGCAAATTCACTGCTTATCCCACTATACATTTTATACCAAGAGAAGTTTCTTTCTCCATGTTCTCTGCTTCTGTGATCTTCAGTTTTTCTACTTTTGAAATTCTCACTGCTTACAATTCATTCTCACTTTGGCTATCCTGCAAATTTCATTAATAACACCCTCTGACCTAGATATTAAACTTTCATTTCATTAAACTATTATGTTCACTTTGTTAATGTTTCATACATCTACAAGTGCAGCTTTCAGTGTTTACTCCATTTCCTGTGCCTCCTATCCTCTCTAATACTTTGGTGTAACCGGCTGCTTTTTTTCTGATAAACTAAAAAAAAAAGACGGGAGAATTGATTTACCCTGCTGACAGTCATAATTCTTTTTTTTCTATCATGTTGGAGATCATAGCCAACCTATAACATGGTCCTATGCAAAAACTTTTTCCTTACCTCTTCCATCATTCACAAATGCTGTTTTTCTAAACTACCCTCATACTCTGTATTCCAGACATGAATTTTAGTCCTGGTTTTGTTTCTGTTGATGCCTATCTTTCACAGCACAATGTCAAATGTGTACTGTACTCATATTTTTAAAACACTAATGACTTTTTCCTAACCTTTGCCTTCTCCCTGCCATTTCTCATATTTTATCTTGTGTGTTTCTGCATACTGAGCATGGGCCAGTAGACCTAATGCAGGGCTTTTCTCTTTCTTCTCTTTTTCTTTCTTTCTCATTTTCTTTTTCTTTCTCTTTTTCTCTTTCTTGCTATCCTTACCTCACTCAGTATTTGTACCTGCAGATCTACTACAGCAGATCATCTGAAGCCAAAAGTTACTCCACAAAAAGCAGCCATACAAATGATAGATAACTCAAGTGCTAGACAACACACTCCTCCACTCTTCAAGAGTTTAAACTAGCTTGACATTACAAAACATTCACTCTTACTATTTTTATTATATATACAGGGCAATCAATACAAATATAAACCCAAACTTGAATTTTCTGCCTGGAAAGCAGCAACAGAACTCAGTAGGCATAACACAAGATACAGTACCTCTTTTCTGTTCCCCCTGCCCCCCCCCCCCATGTACAACTCAACCAGAGTAAAATTTCAATATACTTAATAGGCCCCAACTTATGTCGACTATTTCCTAGCTAGTGTTAAAAATCACTTTTCCTAATACGTAATGTGATACATAACTAACTATTGAAACACATTGAAACCTGCTTGTTGAGTTTTCGTCCATTATTCATTTTCCTATAATTCTTGTCTCTGGTTTTCTACTCCCATATATGGCACTACCTGTTTTACCAAGAATTCTACACAGAATAAATTTGTATAAATGTATAGTAAAATAATCTTCAGATAACCTGTATTCCACTCTCCCTTTTTCAACTAGAAAACTAATTGTTTTATGAGCTACGTTGTGCAACCTATTGGCTTTCTGATTATTGTATATTTTGTTAATAGTGATTAGGAATAATCTTCATCTTACAGCACTGTTTTCTTTTGTTGTACTGAATTGTTTATTATTTCTTTATATGATTGTCTAGGAATCAAAATTAACCATTATAAAATATCTGCAAAAGCAGTAAATGAAATTATAATTATGCAAGTAATAAAAAAAAGTTGACCATTGGTTGTTCCCTGTTTTTTGTTCCCCATATTTTTTGCATTACAATTTCATTTATTGGCATTCATTTATTGTGCAACATTACCTAGACCAAGAGGTGAAATTTCAATCTGGTTCTTGCTGCCGTTTGCCCTTTGTAGTAAAGGTTTGAAACCAGGCTCCAAACCTGACAGTATGCCTATACCACTACCACCTACTGCCACCCACTACCATTATTACTTACCATATTTATACAGTTGTTGCTTTGTGTATAAATATTACAGTAGTCACACACTAGGGCTGAGCTAGGTTGGGTTATCTTTCATTAAATCGACCAAGTAACTTGCTTCCATTGGGGTCCTCATTGTTTTGATATTACTTAGGCATGTATATTCAACAAATATTGGTAATACAAAATTTAAAACTTAAACAAAACACAGCCACTAAACAAATGATTTACCTGTTACTATGTTGGTGTCTAACTACTAAATCAGATGGCGGTTATAATAAGGGGTCTCACTCTTCCCCCCTTTCAACTTTTAAATTGAAACAACTGGGAAAACATCAACTTTTAAATGCACATTTTGTTTTGTATACATAGAAGCATTCAGGTTTTCCCATATTACAGAAATATGCATATACAGTGTATATGTACGGAGTACATATACAGTGAACCCCCGCATACCGTTGGCCTTACATAACGTTAAATCCACATACCGCTACATTTTATCACTAAGATTTTGCCTCGCATACCGCTAAAAAACCCGCTCAACGCTGTTCGTCTGAGATGCGTCTATGTGTGGCCTGAGCCACGCTCACATGTTCCGCCGGTGGCATTGTTTACCAGCCAGCCTCCGTGGTAACATCCAAGCATACAATCGGAACATTTCGTATTATTACAGTGTTTTTGGTGATTTTATCTGCAAAATAAGTGACCATGGGCCCCAAGAAAGCTTCTAGTGCCAACCCTACAGCAATAAGGGTGAGAATTACTATTGAGATGAAGAAAAAGATCATTGATAAGTGTGAAAGTGGAGTGCGTGTCTCCGAGCTGGCCAGGTTGTATAATAAACCCCAATCAACCATCGCTACTATTGGTGGTACAGCTGCTGCTGCTGCTGTACCACCGTCAGCTGCTGCTGCACTGTCAGCTGCTGCTGCTGCTGCTGTACCACTGTCAGCTGCTGCTGCACTGTCAGCTGCTGCTGCTGCTGTACCACCGTCAGCTGCTGCTGCTGCTGTACCACCGTCAGCTGCTGCTGCTGCTGTACCACCGTCAGCTGCTGCTGCTGCTGTACCACCGTCAGCTGCTGCTGCTGTAGTACCATCTGCTGCTGCTGTAGCATCGTCTGCTGCTGCTGTAGCACTGTCAGCTGCTGCTGCTGATACCACCGTCAGCTGCTGCTGCTGCTGCCATTGCTGCTGCTGTAGACGTCTGCTGCTGCTGTAGCATCACTGTCGCTGCTGCTGTAGCACTGTCAGCTGCTGCTGCTGCTGTAGCACCGTCAGCTGCTGCTGTGTACGTACACTGTCAGCTGCTGCGCTGCTGCTCTGTCAGCTGCTGCTGCTGCTGAGCACTGTCAGTGCTGCTGCTGCTGTAGCACTGTCAGCTGCTGCTGCTGCTGTACCACTGCTCCTGCTGTAGTACCGTCGCTGCTGCTGCTGTAGTACCGTCTGCTGCTGCTGTAGTACCGTCTGCTGCTGCTGTAGCATCGTCTGCTGCTGCTGTAGCACTGTCAGCTGCTGCTGCTGCTGTAGCACTGTCAGCTCCTGCTGTACCACCGTCAGCTGCTGCTGCTGTAGCATCGTCTGCTGCTGCTACAGCACTGTCAGCTGCTGCTGCTGTATGTACCCCCGTCAGCTGCTGCTGCTGTAGTACCGTCTGCTGCTGCTGTAGCATCGTCTACTGCTGCTGTAGCACTGTCAGCTGCTGCTGCTGTTGTACCACCGTCAGCTGCTGCTGCTGTTGTACCACCGTCAGCTGCTGCTGCTGTAGTACCGTCTGCTGCTGCTGTAGTACCGTCTGCTGCTGCTGTAGTACCGTCTGCTGCTGCTGTAGCATCGTCTGCTGCTGCTGTAGCACTGTCAGCTGCTGCTGCTGTAGCACCGTTGTTGGTGTGGCTTATTGAGAATACCAAGAAACAATTAATCCCAGAGGATTTGCCACCCAGGATAACCCAAAAAAGTCAGTGTCATCGAAGACTGTCTAACTTATTTCCATGGGGTCCTTAATCTTGTCTCCCGGGATGCAACCCACACCAGTCGACTAACACCCAGGTGAACAGGGAAAAATGCCTGGAACTAGTGCTCATATTGGTGAATTCAAAACCAGCAAAGGTTGGTTTGAGAGATTTAAGAATCGTAGTGGCATACACAGTGTGATAAGGCCTGTTCTGGAAGAAAATGCCAAACAGGACCTACAGTACTCAGGAGGAAAAGGCACTCCCAGGACACAGTGTCTCATCAGTCATTGCTGCATCTTCAATAAAGGTAAGTGTCATTTATTCTTCATTTAGTAGAGTAGTACATGCACAATATATATTGTGCATGTACTACTCTACTATTGTGCATGTATCCTTCTCTTTGTGTGTAGGAAAATGTATATTTCATGTGGTAAAATTTTTTTTTCATACTTTTGGGTGTCTTGCACGGATTAATTTGATTTCCATTATTTCTTATGGGGAAAATTCATTCGCATAACGATAATTTCGCATAACAATGAGCTCTCTTGCACGGATTAATATCGCTATGCGGGGGTCCACTGTACATATACTGTATCTAGAGTACATGTATCTTACCTCTCACTCTGAGGTATTTGTGAATGTCACAAATAATAAACTAAAATGGATTAGTACTGATTATTTAATAAAATAGACCAAACAAGAGGCATAATTGCAACATAACTCTTTGATCTCGGTATTTTTAGACTAATTTTATTGAAGCTCTAAATTAATTTTTCCTTTTCAGTCGAGTCCCAATAGTGCGGAAGTATCAGGTTCCCCATCCCCAGCTCCCAGTAGCATTGGTAACAACGCCCCTAAATATGGAACATTGGTCCCTAACAGGTCAGTTGAATTAATATATATACTTCTGTTTATGGGAATTTTTGCACCCCATCCCTTCAATATATGCTGTCATATACAATGATTCTTTATACTAGTTGCAAGTGCAGGGTTATGCTTTCCTTGTGGTATCCAGTTTTCCATGTTTAATTCTGTGTAATTTTTACTTTACAGTAATTGTGGTTCAAATCATCATCCTGGGGTCTCATCCCAGGATGATGTGAAGGTATATTTCCTAATATGCTTTGGGTGCCAGATTGTTTTTCAAAGGATTTCTTTTTTCCCTATTGATGTTAAATTTTCATTATCTGCTTTTCACTCTTTGATGACCTTTTCATTCTTTTATGAGCTTACATATGGTTGTGTTATCTTTTTCTTCTCACCCAGGTATGGCATTCTGTGATAGTTTTGTATTTTTTAACTTCAGGAACCATTTTGTAACACATCTTAGACATTTTTTGAACACTCCGGGCATCTCCCAAGAAAAGAAAACAATCAGTGTCACACATTCAATCACTGTCTTGCCAGAAGGACACTGACATCACAGTTCACATGACCCTCCAAACTACTACAACCCCTCCTTCAGAGTGCAGGCACTATATGTCCCACCTCTAGTACTCGAGTCTGGCTCTAGCCTGTTTTCCCAGATCCCTTCCTAAATGTTGGATAACTTGTAGGGCCCCATGCAAACTTAGCTCATACTTAACATGGGAAATTTGAACTCTTCATTGGATACTTGCCTGTCATTAAAACAATTTCATAGTTGAATGTCTTGGTGGACTTTTAGAAATAGCTTCTGCTGTTTTTTGTTTTGCTATTCAAACTTTTAGAGCTTTCTCCTGTATGGGGTTATTGTGTTGAAATAAAATTTGCATGTTTTTGCGTGTAATTCCTAATTTTATTGACCAGTTTGTTCAGTATCTCAAAAGTTCAGTGACTGTTCTCTTGTCCCTGCTGCTTTTTTTTTTTTTTTTTTTTTAAATTCTTTCTACTATGCGTTCTTTTCTCCTATTCCCTTTTCCTCTACGTACTTCCATTCTTGCCCCCTTTTCTACTTTTTCCCATACTATTTTTTTTCTCCTTTCTCCCACTTGTTCTTCCCTCTATTATATTCTTCCCCTTACCCCCATTTCTGTTCTTCTCCATACCTCTCATTTCTGTTCTTCCCCATACCCCCCATTTCTGTTCTTCCCCATACCCCCCATTTCTGTTCTTCCCCATACCCCCCATTTCTGTTCTTCCTCATACCCCCCCCCATTTCCATTCTTCCTCATACCCCCCATTTCCATTCTTCCCCATAGCCCCCATTTCTGTTCTTCCTCATACTTCCCCCCATTTCTATTCTTCCCCTTACCCCATTTCTGCTCTTCCTCCTTAAAAAAAAATTATCTTTTCTCTTTCCCAATTCTATTTTTTCCCTTCTCCAAATTCGTCTTTCCATTCCTCCAATTTTATTCTTTTCTTTTCCCTAATTCTGTTCTTAACCTACTTCTAATCTTCCTCTTACCCCATTTCTATTCTATTCCACGTACCCTCAATTCTATTGTTTCCCTTACCCTCAATTCTATTGTTTCCCTTACCCTCAGTTCTATTGTTTCCCTTAGCCTCAGTTCTATTGTTTCCCTTACCCTCAGTTCTATTGTTTCCCTTAGCCTCAATTCTATTGTTTTCCTTACCCTCAATTCTATTGGTTTCCCTTACCCTCAATTCTATTAGCTTCCCTTACCCTCAATTCTATTGTTTCCCTTACCCTCAATTCTATTGGTTTCCCTTACCCTCAATTCTATTGGTTTCCCTTACCCTCAATTCTATTGGTTTCCCTTACCCTCAATTCTATTGGTTTCCCTTACCCTCATTTCTATTGGTTTCCCTTACCCTCAATTTCTATTGGTTTCCCTTACCCTCATTCTATTGGTTTCCCTTACCCTCATTTCTATTGGTTTCCCTTACCCTCAATTCTATTGGTTTCCCTTACCCTCAATTCTATTGGTTTCCCTTACCCTCATTCTATTGGTTTCCCTTACCCTCATTTCTATTGGTTTCCCTTACCCTCAATTCTATTGGTTTCCCTTACCCTCATTTCTATTGGTTTCCCTTACCCTCATTTCTATTGGTTTCCCTTACCCTCATTTCTATTGGTTTCCCTTACCCTCATTTCTATTGGTTTCCCTTACCCTCATTTCTATTGGTTTCCCTTACCCTCATTTCTATTGGTTTCCCTTACCCTCAATTCTATTGGTTTCCCTTACCCTCAATTCTATTGGTTTCCCTTACCCTCAATTCTATTGGTTTCCCTTACCCTCAATTCTATTGGTTTCCCTTACCCTCAATTCTATTGGTTTCCCTTACCCTCAATTCTATTGGTTTCCCTTACCCTCAATTCTATTGGTTTCCCTTACCCTCTATTCTATTGGTTTCCCTTACCCTCAATTCTATTGGTTTCCCTTACCCTCAAATTCTATTGGTTTCCCTTACCCTCAATTCTATTGGTTTCCCTTACCCTCAATTCTATTGGTTTCCCTTACCCTCAATTCTTTGGTTTTCCTCCTACCTACCCTCAATTCTATTGGTTTCCCTTACCTCAATTCAATTGGTTTCCCTTACCCTCAGTTCTATTGGTTTCCCTTACCCTCAATTCTATTGGTTTCCCTTACCCTCAGTTCTATTGGTTTCCCTTACCCTCAATTCTATTGGTTTCCCTTACCCTCAATTCTATTGGTTTCCCTTACCCTCAATTCTATTGGTTTCCCTTACCCTCAGTTCTATTGGTTTCCCTTACCCTCAGTTCAATTGGTTTCCCTTACCCTCAGTTCAATTGGTTTCCCTTACCCTCAATTCAATTGGTTTCCCTTACCCTCAGTTCAATTGGTTTCCTTTACCCTCAATTCTATTGGTTTCCCTTACCCTCAATTCTGTTGGTTTCCCTTACCCTCAATTCTGTTGGTTTCCCTTACCCTCAATTCTGTTGGTTTCCCTTACCCTCAATTCTTTGGTTTCCCTTACCCTCATTCTGTTGGTTTCCCTTACCCTCAATTCTATTGTCTTTACCCTTACCTTCCTCAATTCTGTTGGTTTCCCTTACCCTCAATTCTGTTGGTTTCCCTTACCCTCAATTCTGTTGGTTTCCCTTACCCTCAATTCTGTTGGTTTCCCTTACCCTCAATTCTATTGGTTTCCCTTACCCTCAATTCTATTGGTTTCCCTTACCCTCAATTCTATTATGTTTCCCTTACCCCCAATTCTATTCCCCTTACCCACAGTATATTCTATTCCTTATCCCCTTGTTTATTTCCCTTACACCTGCTACTATTCCCCATCATCCTATTTTGTTCCCTTCTAATTCTATTCTTGCAATGTTTACATATTTTATAAGAAGACCAGTGATTAGGGTGCTTTTATCAGATTTCTTAAGTGCCTTTTATCTTTACAGAAATGCCTACTGATCTACTGTCACATGGCTCTATAACCATTTTACTCACACATTCTTTTACTTCTTAACTCTTAATGTTTGTCTAATGTGATAATAATTACCTAGTTAAAAAATTATTCAGTGAGGATGCAGGTTTTTTTTTTTATCCCACCTATTAAGGGTGACCTAAAGTTTTTTTTTACATTTAGCAATTTATACAGGAGGGGTTACTAGCCGCTTGCTCCTGGCATTTTAGCTGCCTCTTATGGCATGCATGGTTTATGGAGGTAGACTTCTTTTCCATGGAGAAGGATACTATGTATACATTATTATTATAATCACAGGGAAGCGCTAAATCCGTAGGGTCATACAGCACATGTGGGGGGATGGAAGGTATTCAGGCTCAATTCAGGGAACTGGAGCACAGATCCAATTCCCTAGATCAAGAGCCCCTCACCAGCATCAAGGAACCTCCCTTGAGGGGGGGGGATTATACTATGTATACAGTAGTAATAAACTTGAGCAGATTGAACATTGAATGTGTAGTCCCAGAATCATTTTGACATCAGTGTTAGTCCTTGGAGTACTAACAGCTATCATGTTACCAATAAAGGTGCCTGTAACACCATCAAAACGTAGTAAAGAGGTACACTTCCATTAAGATGTATTAATGTATGGGACTGCCATTTTTTTCTTGTGTATTTGGCACCACTAAAAAAAAATTACTTTGTAACCCATATACTTCTAGGTTGCTCTTATAGAAGCATTTAGATAAACATGGATTTGGTAGAAGAAAAGACATTCTTATGGTAGTGAGGCTTATTTCTGTGGGGGTCATTCCCTAGATTGTAACTCGGATAGAATTACTCACAGTATGTTAGGTAAAATGCTAGCCACAATAAAATGTCAAATTAGTTTCACATGTCCTTTTACCTAACAGGATGTAACTCTCAACAGCTATGAAACTCAGGAGTACCTATTTACTGCTAAATAAACAGCAACAGGTGTATGGAGACTTAACCCTTTGAGGGTCGACAGGCCCTCTCCGAAACTCGTTCTCAGGGTCGGCCAAATTTAAAAAAAAAAAAAAATTTCTCTTATGAAAAGATAGAGAATCTTTTCCCGATCATAAAGACACCAAAAGTTTGAAATTTGATAGAAAACTTACGGAATTATGCTCTCGCAAAGTTAGCGGTCTCGGCGATGTTTACGCATCGGCGATTTTGCCCACTTTGAGCCCCATTTTCGGCCAATTTCACTGTACTAGTCGACAAAAAACATGAATATTTCGCTAGAACTCCATTTTTTCTATCGAATGGGTGCAAGAAACCACTCATTTATGAAATTCAACTATCCAGTACAGTGGTCAGAATTTAGCAATTTTGCCAATTTCACACAAATTTCAAAAGATGCCAATTTCCGAATAGGGTCCAGAATAAACAAGAAAGACATTCCTGGCACTAAAATGACATTTCCTCTAGTCATTAGTCATGTCTCAAGGCCCCTCTTATATTCTTTTGCTTTCCACTTTGAATTTTTATTTTCACTAAAAATATAAGATTTACTGTTATGCAGACTACTGAATTAGTGTAAA